GCATGCCAGGCCTTGAGTGGCGCTCAGGCTGGCTCGCGCGTGGGCGCGAAGGCTGGGCTGTGGTCGCCCCTTTGTGCTGCTGCTGACGGTGCCCGCCGCCCTCCCGAGCGAGCCAAGCTGAGGGAAGCAGCGCAGTGGAGGCGGGTCGAGAGCGCGGGGCCTGGTGGTGGCAGCCGTGGAACCGAGCACGACGGCCTGCGAGAAGCTGCGGGGAAGAGGGACACTCATTCCTTGCCAGCCGCGCAGAGCCCTCGTTTGCGCAGCTCCGTACCGGACACCGGGCCTGCTCTCTGCACGGAGATCCGTGCAAGCCAACCCATTCCCAGGCCAGAGCCACCTGCCCCACTTCTGCGCGCAGGCCACCAGCAGCTGCGGTCCAGTGTAGAGAAACTCTGGGCACGCGACTGCCGGTCCAGTCCTGTTTTGTTTTTTCTTGAGAGGAGCAGCCTGTTGCCCACCGCACCACCGAGCTCCAGGCTCTGCTTTCTGGGCCCCGGGCGCCACCGGCACTGCTACCCGAGGTGTGTGTGACAGGGTGCAGCCGCCAAGGCCCCCGGCTCCACGTAGTTTGTATTTTTGGAAAAGGCAAATAAGTGATTGCAAGTTGAATAAATATTGGCACAAACGCGGGGTTGGAGTAGGAAATAAAAGCTGCTGTAGATGGAGCAGTCAAACAGAGGGTCTTTGAGGAGGTGATGTTGAAACTGGAGTCCAAAGAATGAGATCAGGCTTGGAAGACCGTTGGCAGAGATGGTTCGCAGGAGCTGAGGTGCGCACACTCTGGACGAGGGGGCGCCGGTGCAGAGCCAAAGGAAAATCAGCGTGCTGCTACAGCATCAGGCCCCCGGGACGCAGGGAGGTGGACTGGGGCCAGGGCTGCGTGAGGAATGGGGGCTTCGATTTACTGTTGTGAGAATACATTCAGTGGGTGTCGGGCCAAAATGACAGCAGGGAGCCAACTAAACGGGATGCCTCAGCCACAGCCAAAGGTGAGGGCGGTTTGTGCGAAAGTAGTGACCATGCTGAGAAGAGTGGTTGAGAGAGGCGAGTTTGGACTTCACAGGGCACATGGTACTGTGGTAGGGACATGGGGGGAGAAAATGGCGAAACCAGGGAACTTTCAAGGTTACTCCGGGGAGCAGATGGGCAGGGCCTCGTGCATGGGATCGGGTGGCCCAGAGGAAGGGGACCATCTCAGGGAAGAACGTGAACAATTCAGTGTTCACATGGAGTTTGAGATGGCTGTTAGCCACTCAACGGAGCAGAAGGGAGAGGGGAGAATCGAGGGAGCGGGGGAGTCTTTGGTGGGCTTGCTAGATGGCCCTAATGGCCATTCTCTTTTTTTCTTTCATTATAAAATTCTCAATTCTACCTGACCATATGGCTTCCCAGAATAAAGGCAGCTCTCTCAGCCTCCCCTGAAGCTACATATGGACACATGACTCCATTCCAGCCAATAGGAAGTAGAGGTGTCCTTTGCAAATTCTAAATTGGCCTTCAAGGGAAACAAGTGCTCTCCTCAGCCTTGCTCTTTCCTCTCACTGGGACAGGTGGATACAGGGCTGCAACTGACGCAGCCATACAGGATCTGTAGTGGAAGCCACGTGTTGAAGATTTTAGTGGAACAAATTAGCATAAACTGTGGGCTCCTAACGTTTACATCACCGAACTTACTCTAATCTGCCTACCCTTTTGACTTTGTACATGAGAGAAATAAATTTTTGTCTTGTTTAGCTTTCTATTTTCTGATGCTTGTAACCATATCTAATTCTACCTTGTCAGACTACATAGGGCCTTGCTAAAATAGAAAGAAACTGGAGGAAGCTTGCATAGTGATAGGAATGATCCAGGAGGAGGAAGGAACCGTGATTCTGATGCACACGTACAGGAGAAGGGACTGGGTGATCTTGGGGATGGAGCTATGATACAGTCCTTGTTCCCAAGGAGAGGGACAGGGAGACGAAGTTTTCGGTGGAGAGAAGATGATTATTTGTACCTGAAAATTTCTGCTTAATCCTAGATGTGAACAGAGGCCTGAGTCAAGAACAAAGAAGGAGGGTGAAGCCAACTCTGCAAGTCTCCTTGGGGACACACTTCTTTCTGGACCAGTTGGCTGCAAGTCCCCGTGCCAGGCCATGCTGACCTCACTGGACAGCCATGTCTGCCACTCACAGCTGTCCTGTGAGACTTACCAAGCTTTACCATTCTTACAGCAACTCGGAGTGGCTTCTGGGAACATCAGGGATTCTCCCTAAGGAACAGTCCTGTTTTACTTTCCTTTATTAAAAAATGAAAAAGAATTAGGACAGAACAGCCCCAACTCACGCAGTATGTATACTGTAACCTGTGATTTGCTTTGCAGGCTATCCCATAGGCCTGTAATTGCCAAGAATGTGGCTGAATTATAGAGCAGATGTCAAGCCTAAAGCAGGGACCATCAGAACAAAAAATAGTACATGAGGGAGTGAAGCAAGCCAGGAGTTGCTCTTGTCGTGTGTTTTGTGTTTTTCTTCCCACAGACCCAAAGCTGCTAGGAAGGTAGTTTTGAATGGATACATTTGACCTCTGATTGCTGCTCCCACCCCTCATGGCCTCACTCTGTAGTACCCTTGTGTGTCCAAACAGTGGATGGACCCAGGGGCCTTGGAGAGAAGAGGGTTTTGATGACCAGCTCTCCTAGCTCATAGTTTCTTGATCTTGAGCAAACCACATTACGTCTCTGAGCCCTGGTGTCCTTATCTAACAATGTCAAGGTCAGAGGAATGCCCTCCTTCTGAGTTCACAGTGCAATTCAGGAACTGCGGATGTAGCTTGGTGATAGTGTGTCTGCCTACCATGTACAGGCCCTAGGTTCTTTCCAAGCATTGCAAACAAATCATATCAAATGACATGAAGTTTGTAAAAATTTTTTGTCTAGGGATTGAACCCAGGGCTTCACACATGCTAGACAACTGCTCTACCACTAAGCCATTGAACCATATCCCCAGCTCCCGCTTTTAATTTTAGTTTGAGATTGCATCTTGCTAAATTGCCCAGGCTGGACTTGAATTTGCAGTCCTCCTGCCTCAGCCTCCCCAGTAACTAGGATTACAGGTGTGTGCCACGATGCCCAAAATAATGATTGTAAAACCTTAAAAATCACTGGAAGCCAGGCATGGAGCTGGGCATGGTGGCACATACCCATAATCCCAGCATTCTGGGAGGCTGAGGCAGGAGGATGGCAAGTTCAAGTCCAAGCTGGGCAACACAGAAACTTAGCAAGGCCCTATAGCAAAATAAAATAAAAAGGTCTGGGGATGTAACTCGGTGTGAAGACTCTGGATTCAGTCTTCACTGGATAAGCTGTAACAAGCTCTGCTGAATATAGCTCAGTGCAAAGACCTGAGTTCAGTCTCCAGTAATGAAAACACACACACACAGTTGTAAAGAAATTTATTACTTCTGTCACTTGGGAATGATGTCTTGTTAGGGCTAGACTACCAAGGCTCTTCACAGTAACCAGGACATTTTGGTTGGAAACAGAACCGTACCTGAACAAGCATAGGCTAAGGAAGGAGGGAAGAAATTACAGGAAAGATATGCAGATCACTCACAAAACAAAGAAGAACCTAACACAAATGTCACTCACAAAACTCAGCGCTGATCCTGGAGCTTCCCAAACCAGGAGTCTCTGTATACCCTAGTTCTCAGGGTCCACCATACAGTGTCAATAACTCTGTCCTCTAGGTTAGTACATTCATATCCTAAAGAGAGATGCTCATTGGTCCATCTAGGGTTCCATGCCCACCCCTGGATCAATCGCTATGGCAAGGGAGATGGGCCAGGGCTTGGGTGACATGCCCATGCCAGTGAACACTAGCTCAGGCCTGTGCCAGATGTCGTAGTTTGGGGCTTATTGCAAAGGTGAACAATACAATACAAGACACATATTTTATAAGATTATTTATAATAGTCACCCAAAGAATCATATACAAGAGAGTACAGGAAATCTGTCTACACATTAAAGACCCAAGAATCTTGCTGAAGGCCTGGATCCCACAGAAATGTCCTGCATGCGTTCAGCTGAAGACCTAGAGCCCATAACAATGCCTCCCACGAATCCAACTAGAGGTTTAGAGCCCATGACAATGTCTCATGCAGGCCTGTTTCACAATCTGTGCTGGGAAGGCCCAAAGGTCAGTGGTGGAATCTAGAAAGTCTGTGTCAGCAGGTTGAAGGATCTGTGCTAGCAGGCTGAGAGATCTGAACTGGAGCCAGGAAGCAATGTTCAAAGTAAAAGTCGGAGCTCCCCGCAAAAGTACCACAGTCATCCTCAGCAACAGCAAGGTCCCGAACTCCTCCGATAATCAGGACAGCCGAGTTCCCATCAGGAAAGCCAACATAGCAAGCTTCTCCAGAATGCTGGAAGTGTACCATCTTCCCCTCTAGAGCCAGGAATCAATGCTCAGAGTGAGGACCAGAGCTCCCCCAAAGTGAACCAAAGCTATTCTCAGTGCAAACAAGGTCCCAAGCTCCTCAAAGGATGAAAACAGCCAAGTTCATCAGGAAAACCAACATCACAAGCTCCTCCAAAAGCCCAACAGCTTTTTACAGGTTCTACTAGCTCCCAAAAGCCTAACAACTTCTTCTCCAGTTCTGCCGTGTATGCTGCTGGCAACGATCCTCAGGTGGACCTCCCATGCTTACTCAGTTCAGCTGGGTGTTATAAGTTGACCACCAATTGTCAATCTACCACACCAGAGGAAGTAACAATGTGTGCAGAACAAACATGGTGATTCTTGGCTGAGATGGGACAGCAGGTATTTCTTAGGTGCTATGCAGCTGCTGAAAGGTGTTGGGCAGAATAATGACTTTGTCATGTTTGTACTTCTAGAAGAGCCCAAAGACTGGATTGGCAGGAGAACAATTAAAGAAAAATGATCATGAAGTAAACTTTCCATGGTGTAGGAAGAAGATAAAGAGGAAATGGGGAAAGGTGCTGTGTTGGTTACTTTTTTCTCATTGCTGAGACAAAATACCCAATGCCCAAAATTAAGGAAGGAAAGGTTTATTTAGCTCACAGGTTGTGGAGGTTTCAGTCCATACTTGGCTGCATCCAAGGCAGACTGCCACATGGCAGAGGGCAACGGTCCATGGTGGCAGAAAACAGCAAAGCAACAACAGCAAAGGGGAGGAGCAGTGGGCAAGCCTCTTTCCCTCTCTTATATTGTATGCAAATTGTCCACCCCAGGGTGGGTGTAGCACTCACACCCATAATCCTAGCATTGAACATGGATCAATCATAAACTCTAGAAGCCCACCCCATGACTGCATGAGGCTTTGGGGGGCACCCAGACACAAACCATAACAGGCGGACAGATTCATCATACATATGGGAGACAAAACTGACGGTGACTAAGTACATGGGAAGACATGGAAACAGGGATTGCTGCATTCTGGCTGTGTAGATGATGGTTCTATTCACTGATACAAGCATCAAATTACCCTGTGAATGTACATGTTTGCCAACAAGTAACAACTTAGACCTCTTCCATATGGAGTGCCCCAAACAGAAGCCAGGGTCCCATTTGGTATGTGGAATTCAGGACAGACATCTAAGCAGAAGCTACAAATTTGGGAGCATTTATTTATTTATTTATGTTTTGTTTTGTCTTTTGTGAGACTGGGTCTCATGCTATCCTCCAGGCTGGCTTTGCACTCACTTTGTAGCCCAGGCTAACACTGATATCATAGAGACACTCCTGCCTCAGCCTTTGGAGTGCTGGGATTACAGGAGTGTGCCACCACACCTGGCCAATTTGGGGGCTTTTAATCAGTTAAGAGTTGTGTACAACAAGTTGCCTAAACCAAATGGGTTTTGTTGCTGTTGTCACTGTTGAAAATGCTCTGAGGTGATATAATGAGATGTCTGAACGTAAGAGTATTGCTCAACATCTGCACAATGCTGCTCAGATCCCAGGTCCCCTCAGTTGGTCTTTTGCTTACCTCGCTGGGCAGATTTCATGCTCAGAGTGAGCCAGTGGTCACACAATGGCTGCTCCAGCACCAGCTTCCCATCTGAAGAAAAGGCATTAAGGCTGAAAGATCTGCCCCTGCTTAGGAAAACAGAATTTTCTCAGAAAGTCCACAGACTTGCCTGTCCCTCACTGGACAAGTCTACTCATGTGGCAAATGCTAGGTCTGAGGGAGGTTGGTAAACATAGGTTAAAAAAAAAATAGCAGGTGGACATGACGGTGCACACCTCCTTCGGGGAGGCTGAAGCAGGAAGATTGCAAGTTTCAGCCCAGGCAATGTAGTAACTTAGCAAGACTGTCTCAATAAATAAATAAATAAATAAAAATGGCTGAGAATGTAACTCAATGTGAAGGCCCTGGGTTCCAATCCTAGTAGTGCGGGATGTGTGGGGCGGGGACAGGGGAACTCCATGATAAATCACTTTCCTGGAAGGCAGAAGGCACTGGGCTCAATGACTAGTACTGCAAAGAAAGGAGAAACAGAAAGGAGAAACAACAACAAGATCCCACAGCCTGCTTGACCAGAAGGAGAATGGGTGCTGAGGAAGCAGAGCGTGGGTGATAATCAAAACCATGGGAGTAAGGAGATTATCTTGAGGCTCAGAGATGAGAATGAGAAGAACTTCGGACAGAATCTTGGTCAACACAAAATCTGAGGAGCTCAGAAAGAGCAGAAGGATAAAGAGCCAGGCAGAATGGCCAGCAAGGCTGCAGGGCAGGCAGGCGGGTAGTGTGTGCAGTAGTCAAGGGGAAGCGAGGGTTTTCAGGGAAATGAGGGTTTCTGGAATGGGAGACCCCATCCCCCAGGGCTGACAGAGGGGCAGCAGGGTGACGCTAAGAGTGGCCAAGGGGTGGGCAGCAGCTGCTGAGGGCTCTGTAGTAACAGAAGACAACGGACGCCTAAGGAACAAATGCAAGGTGAGAGGTGGGGAGCTGGAAGACAATGCAGACAAAGGGTCAAGGGCAAAATACTTGAAGGCTGAGACAGGTGTGCATTTGCATGGGGAAGGGAGGAGCAGATACTTGTCAGGAAGCTGGGAAGCAATGGGGTCACAGGAAGAGGGCCGCTGGTGTTCTTGGGGACCGGACAGGAGGGAAAGGGAGAGGACGAGCTGTTGGTGGATAGCTGCAGGTGCCCAACCCAGAAGAGAAAGTGCAGGTGAGTGGGAGTTAGTGGGATATGTGGGTGTCAGAGAAGTTTAGGGGCAGACAAGGCCTCTGAGAAGTGGCAAGCTAGAAGATTTAAGGAAGGGTTGTGAGCCTAGGTGCCATCTTTTGTAGACTTTTTGCTCAAATTTAGTGGGTTTTTTTGATTGGTTTTGTTTTTTTTTCAGTACTGAGGATCAAATAGGGGGCATTTTGCCACTCAGCGACATCCCCAGCGACATCCCCTTTTTTATTCTGAGACAAGTTCTTGCTAAGTTGCATAGGCTGGGGTTGAATTTGCAGTCCTCCTGCCTCAGCCTACTGAGTAGCTGGGATAGTAGTTGTGCATCACTATGTCCAGCCCACCGTTAAGTATTTGTTTTTGTGGTACTGGGAATTGAGCTGAGGGCCTTTGCCCTGAGCTACACCCCCTACCCCTTTTTATTTTTTTATTTTGAGGCACATTCTTGCTAAGCTCCTTAGATGCCCAGCCTGGGCTGGAACTTGCAATTCTCTTGCCTTAGCCTTCCCGAGTGCTGGAGTTACAGGCATGTGCCATCATGCCCTGATCCAAGCTCAGTTTTAAATCAATTTTGCCTTTCTAAAAAAAAAAGGCCAGGGAGCCCTGGAAAAAAGAAAAAAGACAATAAAAAAAGAAACTGAGCCTGTCATCCAGTGTCTGCCCTACTTGTTCTGGAACGCTCTGTTTTAAAGAAGTTGTAAACTTCCAAGCATTTCTTATTCTGT